TTTGCTAGGTTTAATTGTAGGTAATGTTCGCCTACTGATAATCCAATTGTCCTCAGCATCCAAGCTAGTTTGGTCTTTTCCAAAGAAAATAAGTAATACCCACATATCAAAATTGACTTTTATGTGAAATATTTTTGTTTTAGAGTTAGAAAATAAGTAATACCCACATAACAAAAGCAGGGAGTGAAATTAATTATTTCTTTAAAATAACAATAAAAGAAAAGAGGAAGAAAAGTTAAGGATTTCATCGTGACTTTAAAAATATTTGGGTATATTGACAATATACAATTTCAAGGGGCATTTTTTATTTGCAAAAGGTTTTCAAAAACCTAAAGCCCGGTCTAGCCCACTCTATGGGCCACCCCTGAATTCTAGAGAAATATTTATTTGTTTTTTCATAAATGATTGATTGTTGTCTAACATTAATTATCTTGTGATATAAAGATAGGGATATTATCATAAACTACCTTAAGGTTTGTGTTTATATCATGTGAAGAATAACTTTGGCAATTTTTATCAAAGATATCCCTTAGGGGGCGTTTGGTTTAGGAAATATTGGATTATTGGAAAGTTAGATTACCTTGAAGATTACTAAGAATCTTTAGGAAAATGTGTTTGGTTAATTGGTGGGTATGTTATATTAATATGTTTGGTTGGGAGAAATAAATTGTTGGGTATGTTATTTAAATTACTGAATTGCCCTCTAATTAAATATTATATTCTATTATTTTTTAATATTGATTAGTAGTTGGATTATTATAACCCCTGCATTTAAAAATTTAGTAAAAACAACCCCATAATAAAAGTTTAAAAAATCAACAAAGCACCCCCATCAACCCAGCCATTGCCGGTTGCCAGCAACCACTGCAGGCGGCGCCAACCAGCAATAGCTGGGTTGATGGGGGTGTTTTTTTTATTTTTTAAACTTTTATTATGCGCCAGTTGACAACCTAACTACGCACGGAAGGCAGGAAATTGATCTCTGGCTGGAAATGGCTAGACGTGACAGATCTGGCTATTAACGGTCTGTAATAGCCACTTTCTACTCAAATACTCATAATGAAATACATATAAAATAATATAAAGAAATTGGGCCCAAAATTTTATTTTTATTATATATATATATTCTTTACAAACCTATATATTTTTACACAAAATTATAATGTGTACAAAAGTCATCAAAAACATAATAGACAGTGTAATCGCTTCTCCTCGAGCGCCGACATCCATCCGACCATGTCCTCACCTAGATCCTGCAAAACATAGGAAAACAACGGGGTGAGCACTAAAATAATGCTCAGTAAGTAAATCCTCTGCTCATCTATCCCCGTAACTCTCTCTCTCTAATTCTTTCCTTACAACTTCTCATTCAATTTCTCTTTGGGTACTTCTCTCTCTCTTTCTCTTTCTCTTTCTCTTAGAACTCTTTTCTATTAACTCTCTTTAGTAAGTCACGTCCCCATCTTACTAGGGGCACGGCCGGGACTCGCTCCCACTCTACATGACCTCTACTCATTCTAGTCGATCGGACTCGGTTATGCATGGATTCGGAACCCTTGGCCATGTGAGTGTATAATCTCTCTCTCGGGTACTCGGGTATAACCCTCATCCGCATGCACTCTCACGGGCTACACCACTTCTTTATCTCATACTCATGCCGCTCTCTCAATGCGGCGTACATGCGGGAATACTCTACCCATTACTCACGGGTTCCCCATCGCACAACCTACTCTATTCTCTTTTCTCTTTGTTCTCTAATGCTTAATCTCTCTTTACTCTTAAAGAACTTATACTCAAATTCTCTACTGTGTCTCAAGCTACTTCTTAAGTGCATAAAAATGCGTATGGATAGCTCATGCTCACTAATGCACTTATGAAATGCCAAATACAAGATTTCCTCAAAACAGTCATTCTGCACAAGTCACACTAAAAAGGCCATAACTTGCGTTATACACCTCAGATTGCTACGATTTTGATCTCGTTTTAAATCTTAGAAACAGGGCTATAACTTCTATGTTTTGGTCTCAGCCCAATTCAATCCGTAAGATACCCAAAAATTACTTAGAAAGTCACAAAAGTGACAGGACAGATTTCACTTAGGCATTTCATCAACCAATTCATGTGCATAAAAACACTCTACTAAAATTACTACTATACTTCATTCTCTAGCCATCCAAATTGGGAGAAAACTCCCTTAAATACTCATAATCCCTATCAAGAAAAGCACTTCCAAATAGGTTTACACAACATCTCTCAAACTTCATCTCAAATTCCATTTCTCATCACACATCAAAAACACTTCTCATAATACATATTCATCTCAACTCAATTCTTAACAACATAACATACTTATACAAGCATACATCTCTACTCAATCTCTAAATCTCTACTCAAAAGCTTATTCAAAACTCAAGTTGGTTGGATTTACTTACTTTGTGCAAAGGTGACTTCTTTAGCACTTTTCCTTTCCTTTGTTGTCTTGTCTTCTCTCTACAACTCAAACAACAACAACCAAATAAGACTTCACTATAACTATAAGAAAATTCACATCTAAAGCATGAATCCTTACCTTAGGATGCTTTAGATGAAATCTCTACTCAAAATTACTCAAAAGCTCTCCTAAATCCCTTAGAAATCTTGGAAGATTGGATAGAGAAAATGAGAGAAATTAGGCAAATGGAAGAGGCGGTGGAAATGAATGAATAAAGGGTTTCTCTACACTTTAACTCTATTTAGCTCATATTATAAGCATCATTTCCCATTTTGCCCTTGCCCTTCCTTAGAAATTCCATCTATATCTTTTGATTCTTTACAAATACACCCCCATCCAAACACAATCTCTACTAAATTTCCTTACATTTTACTCCCCACTTTTCCTACTAATTAGGGGTAGAATGGTCATTGTGCCCCAAAAGAAGAATTCTTAGAAAACTCAAGAAACTTTTTATTAGGCTCGTCACCGCGGCGAAGCATTTTCCGTCGCCCCGGCGAAACAGGGCAGAACCTACCGGTGGGTGCAGCTCCTTCTCGCCGCGGCGAAGATTGGATTTCCAAACTTCACCAAAACTCAACCAATTTCAAGGCAACCATTCAACCAACTCAACATACCATGATAACAAACAAACTCAATTGAAGCTGAAACAGTAAACTTTTAACTAATACAGTAAATCTTAAGTACATACCTCAAGTGGGATATTACACGGTCATAGACATAGTCGTTAATGGTCATCGATCTGGCCATTGTCGGCCAGGTTAGATTTGGTCGGAAATGGCCATATGGAAGCACGGTGGCCATTTTCGGCCTTTCGTGTGCTGTTCCGACAACGGCGGCGGTTACTAGTGGCAGGTGGGTGGGGGTGGCAGCTTGGGTGGGCTGCAATTTGTTTTGAATTCAAGGGTAATTTTGTCGGTTGCATGTTTTGTAACACAAATACAATTTTTTTTATTTTTTTATTTTTGAAAAGGATTTCATAAACGTTTCAGTCAAACTCTATGTAGCATAATTAACCATCCAATTAACAGTTCAATACTGCTTTTGCTTAAGAAAAATTAAAGACCTAAAAGTATGAAATTAAACCCATTGAAAGTACATACATTTTGTGAAGAAGTTTAATCAACCAAATAAGTTCTTTTTTGTAAGAGTAATGTTACAGTTATCGAAGGATGTATACCAAATTCATGCATCGAATAACGTAACGAAATCCTGAACGTTGATTCATTATAAGTTAATATTAATCAACGGTTAGGATTTTACCACGTCATTCGGTGTACGAATTCGGTGTGTAATTTTTGATAACTCTATCATTTTCCTTTTTGTAAAAGGTTCATGCATGGACCCAAAATATAAGGAAATGAGTCGTGACAGTAACTTAACAAATTAAATTAGAGAAAAATAAAAATAAAAACTATTTTCATGAATTAAATTGTCCTACAAATATATCTACTCTAATTAACGATCACCAAGAAAATTTTGATCAATACCGATTTTTTATTTTTTATTTTTTGTAAGTCAAAGTGAGCGTGAATATGTATTTGGATTGGCGTGCACTCCTGCCGTTTAAAATATACTGCACGTTTTAAGATGTTGAAAAGAGATGAGATACTCAATTAATCTCTCTTGAGAAGGATAGCGAGTACACACATATAACGAGATGAACACTTTTAACATGTTTATAAACACGTGATCTATTTAATTTCTTGATAATATGCGTTCAATCTATTCATATAAATTCAAATTACAACTTATGAATTATTGAAAAATTGTATCATAGATGAGTAACAGTTGTGTCATAAACTAACATTTTTTTTTTTTAATTATCGAGAGTGTCTAGGCCAGTTTGTGTGCATCTCAACTAATCTTTCATGGTTTTAGAACTGTCGATTAAGTAAAATCCTTAATGACTACTCCTATTAGTGCCTAGGGAGACATAAACACATAAATTCATGGAATCTCCTTTTACTATTTTACTATCAAATTATTCTGTGGTGGTTAATTAATACTTATGTTTTTAATGGTGAGATGTTAAGTATTGATGGAATTAATCGTATATTAGGGTTAATCTACACCTAAGCAAAAGTACTTACAATGAATCAGTCTTAATTAACATAACACCGTTAGAATTAAATATTAATGTTATGTTTAAATCAACTCAAATCTTGTATCAGTGTGATGTTTTCTAACACGATATTTAAACTAAAACCTCTAATTCTAAATACCGAATATTATTTTTCTTTTTTAGATATGGATAATATTTTCGTTACCGTTGGATCATGATCCAAGAATCGCTTAACCACCAGTAACGTTATTGAGTAACTTAACCTGATTTATAAACAGAGAAGAGAGAAAAGAATAACTTGCACATTGATCACAATCTTACTTTTGCCAACAAACCACAAAGCAATTCATCATGTGTAGCTTTCAATTTATTCCTTCACTTGCAACTTTCCCAAAAATTACCACAAATACTCCAAGCTTTTCCAAGTTTTTCATGGGTTCCACCCAGCTCTATTCTGGTTCTAAGTGAGTTCATCTTTGGTTTATATATATTTGTGAAACTTATTCCATGCAAGTATTTAATATTTTAACACCTAAAATTATATTATTTTAAAAGTGCTTGAAGGTTACATGAAAACTATATCCTTAAGGTTTGTGTTTATATCATGTGAAGAATAACTTTGGCAATTTTTATCAAAGATATCCCTTAAAGCTAGCAATGTGATCTTAAATTTTATGGTTAGATTAGGGTTTTTGCTAATTAATTTGCATGAAGTTATATATTTTTATGTATTAATGATGCTACTGTAAAAAATTTCTTTTGTCTTTAGCAGTAACTATCCACATAATATAAATATCCTACAGAATTAAAAATAATGATACATGAAGTGAATCAAACATGATTCGAATCCTTAATTAGAGTATATTGACCATTTAAGAGTTCAGATGGGGAATAACATTATTTTCAGTAATATAACAAAACTTCTGGAAAAATAATTAGTTTTTGTCTTGCGTTCGCATCTTTCGTAGTACAACCACAATATTTGTTTTTTTTTTTTTTTTTTTTTTTTTTTTTTTATAATTGATTTCAAAAACATTTCAACCAAATACTATGTAGCATTATTAACCATCTAATAAACAATTCAAAACTGCTTTTGCTTTAGAAAAATTAAGGACCTAAAAGTATGAAATTAAACCCATTGAAAGTAAATATATTTTGTGAAGAAGTTTAATCAACTAAATAAGTTCTTTCCTGTAAAGGCTTCATGCTTCGTGCATGGAACCAAAATATAAGGAAATGAGTTGTGACAGTAACTTGATAAATTAAATTAGAGAAAAAAAAAAAAAAAACGATTTTCATGAATTAAATTGTCCTACAAATATATCTACTCTAATTAACGATCACCAAGAAAATTTGGATCAATACCGATTTTTTCTTCTTCTTTTTTTCTTTTTTGCAAGTCAAAGTGAGCGTGAATATGTATTTGGATTGGCGTGCTGTAGGACTCCTGCCGTGCAAAATATACTGCACGTTTTAAGATGTTGAAAAGAAATGAGATACTCGATTAATCTCTCTTGAGAAGGATAGTGACTACACACATATAACGAGATGAACAGTTTTAACATGTTTATGAACACACGTAATCTGTTTAATTTCTTGATACAATGCATTCAATCTATTCACATAAAATCAAATTACAACTTATGAATTATTGAAAAGTTGTATCATGGATGAGTAACAGTTGTGTCATAAACTAATATTTTTTTTAATCAACGAAAGTGTCTGGACCAGCTTCTGTTCATCTCAACTAATCCTCCATTGATCTAGAGTTGTCGATCAAGTAAAAACCCTAATAGCTACCCTTATTAGTGCCTAGAGAGTTATGAACACGGAAACTCATGAAACCTTCTTTTACTATTTTATCATCAGGTCATTCTGTGGTGGTTAATTAATACTTATGTTTTCAATGTTGAGATGTTAAGTATCGATGGAATTAAGTGTATCTGAAGGTTAACCCACACTTAAACAAAAGTACTTACAATTAATCAGTCTTAATTAACATAATACAGTTAGAATTAAACATTAATGTTGCGTTTAAATCAACTCAAATCTTTTATCGATGTGATATTTTCTAACATTACATTTAAACTAAAACCTCTAATACTAAATACCAAATTTGTTTTTTCTGAACATTGATAATATTTTAGTTACCATTGGATCATGATCCAAGATTCGCTTAGCCAGTAGTAACGTTACCGAGTAACTTTACCTAATTTATAAATAGAGAAGAGAGCAAAGAAGAACTTGCACATCACAATCTTACTTTTGCCAACAAACCAGAAAGCAATTCATCATGTGTAGCTTTCAATTTATTCCTTCGCTTGCAACTTTCCCAAAAATGACAACAAAGACTCCAAGCTTTTCCAAGTTTTTCATGGGTTCCACCCAGCTGTATTCTGGTTCGAAGTGAGTTCATCTCTGGTTTATTTTAATTTAAAATATATATATATATACTTTGAACCATCTCTGGTTTATTTTAATTTAAAAAATATATATATACATATATATATTTGTGAAACTTATTGCATGCAAGTATTTCATATTTTAACACCTAAAATAATATTATTTTAAAAGCGCTTGAAGATTACATGAAAATTATAACGTGACTAGATTGTACCAGGATTGTCTCCTAACATGAATTTTTATACTAATTAATTTTATCTTTTCTTAATTTCCAATTTTAGGGAGGCAAAAGAGCTGAAGAAGCTGTCCTGTGCCAATTCCATGGCCCCGGAAAAGGTTGAATTATTCAAATCCATAGAGGATTGGGCAAGAGATAGCATTTTGCCTCTACTAAAACCAGTTGAAAAATCCTGGCAGCCTGCAGATCTTCTACCGGATTCGGGGTCAGACGGATTCATAGAACAAATCAATGAAATAAGGGAGAGAACAAAGGAAATTCCTGACGATTGTTTGGTTGCTTTAGTTGGTAACATGATCACAGAAGAAGCCCTTCCAACGTATCAGTCGAGAATCAATGCCATTGAAATTTATCATGATGAAACAGGAACCGACAACACTCCATGGGCGATTTGGAGTAGAGCTTGGAGTGCTGAAGAGAATCGCCATGGAGATCTTCTCAATAAATATCTTTATCTTTCAGGAAGAATTGACATCAAACAAGTTGAGAAAACTATTCAGCATTTGATTGCTTCAGGAATGGTAAGAGATCCTTGCAAACCATCAGTCATGCAAACTGCAAAGACATTAGTCATTCTCTAGTGCAGACATCATGATTATTATTATTGGTATTCTTTACTTAAGAGAATTTTTGTGTAAAAATACTTTAAAAAAATGTCTTCATTAACTTTCATTTTTCTAAAAATATTGTTTAACATTCTTAATCGTAATTCGAGTAGTATTGTATATAACTATAGAAAAGTTTATACGAACTTTCAGAATTTTAATTAAATACATAAGACTATAAGAGTTTCAATGTAAGATATTGTACTCTCGTACAGATGTCATAAATTTTTTTTTTTGTTAAAATAGTTTCTCATGTAAGGAACTTGATTCAGGTTTTTTTGGTACTTGAAAACGCTTAGTGCATTCATATCACTATCACAAAATCACATAAAGAATACGTTTGAAATAAAGCATCTTAATTAAAAAGCTCTTTATTAACTTTTTATTTTTACTAAGAAATATAGTTGAAAATCGTCTTTTAAGTAGTGTATATAATAATTTTCAGAATTTTAATTAAATAAATAAGAGTTTCAATATGTTATTGTCTTACAAGAACTCTTATTTTTAATGTTTCTTTCTAACAGGATTTTGGCACTGGAGACAACCCTTACCATTGGACAATTTACACATCATTTCAAGAGAGAGCAACATTCATTTCTCATGGCAACACAGCCAAGCTTGCCATGAAACATGGAGACTCAAAGCTAGCTCAAATTTGTGGCACAATTGCTTCCGATGAGAAGCGCCACGAAACCGCTTATAGTAGGATCGTTGGGAAGCTATTTGAGCTCGATCCTAGCGAAGCAATGGTTGCATTTGCCGACATGTTGAAAATTAAAATCACGATGCCAGGCCAATTGATGTACGACGGTCAGGATGTGCATCTATTCGATCACTTCTCTAATGTCACCATGCGAATTGGGGTATACACAACCTCGGATTATATTAGTGTTTTGGAACATTTGGTGGGTTTTTGGAATGTCAAGAAACTTGAGGGGCTTTCGAGCGAAGGAAAAATTGCTCAAGATTATGTTTGTGAGTTGCCTGAAAGGTTGAGAAAAATAGAGGAGAGAGCTCGAGCGAGGGCTATCAAAGCGCCTGCAATTCCATTCAGCTGGGTTTTTAATAGAGAAGTGTAGCTAGTTACTTAAGAGTTGGATGAAGGTCAATGAAATCACTATAATAATGCTCGTGTGTGTACTCCCTATTGAGAGTTTTACAATCCGAAGAATGTGATATAAGTTTTACTGAAAACATTATATTGTTATTAAATGTAAACTTTGTCTTTATTAATGTTATATTTTATGATATATAATATAATAATAAATGTTGGTCTAATAATATCTATATGATTATTTTATCAAATCGTTATCAACATAAACTTTGTCCTGATTAATGTTATATATTATGATATTATGTATAATGATACTACCTTGAAACCCTAATTATTAAATTCTAATAATTTCGTAATTAATTAATCAAGCCCATAAGATCACTTATTTCAAAAGTCTCATAGATATTTTCAATTAAAAATTCATTTTTTTTTTTTTTAGGTACTTGTGGGGGTCTAAAATCATACGAGGCCTTATTAAGGCCAAACAGGAATGTTCTACTACATTGGCCCAAGCCTGTGATCCAATTTCAGTTGGATCAGCATCAGAGCTCGTGACTTGGGTCAAACCACGACCTCTAGATCCAACTTTCTTCCAAAATGGGTGACTCCAGCAGCCCAGCTAAGGCTAGGTCTTCTAGACCAAGGTAAGTAGCATTTTTCCTGATTTACTTTATCCTTATTCGCCCAAGATTCTGTATCTTAGGCAGATTAGGACTCCTATTACTATTAAGTAAAGTGAATTTAGATCTTTCCTATTCATGAGACCTCTTCCCTTAAGGATTTAGAGTCCTATCAGGATACAAAGATCCTATAACTACTATATAAACAGAGGTCACTACTCTATTTAGGCATTCAGCCTGAATATCACCTACCAACACCCAAGCTCTTACTCCTAAGAGTTATTCTACTACACTATGGTTTTAGTCTCTTACTTGACCTCTGGTAGCCCTTCCTTCATTTACCCTCACTAAATTGCCTCATTCAGCCTTAGTGACTTGAGTGTTAGAATACCTACGACAGACACCACACCGGTGTCCAAGTAAGCTCCACGCTTGTTTGCTCTGTGTGTAGGTATAGCAAATTGCCAGTGGCCTCAACCTCACGAGATCAGACCCTACTTCCGCAACCATAGATTTTAGCATCTACAGTTTGGCACCCACTGTAGGGTCTTTGGCAATCGACCTTCGTTTAGAATCCTGCTCTACAAAGAGTCACACAATGGTTGAAAACACGGATACCGCCTCAACATATCTCGTGGCTAAGGTTGAGACTCTTTTGGCACTCATGTAACAACAAGCCAACAAAGTCACAGCTTTAGAAGCCGAGAATAACAACATTCAGGCCGAAAATCAAAGCCTACGAGAAAAGGTAAACCAATTTTATTCTCTTGATTCTGTGTCTCGGTAAACTCCATGCAACCACTAATGACCCCAAACCATATAACCTCAGCTTTTGACCCTCGATCTTCCTAGCTCCAGTCATCCATGATGGATAGACTGGCACCCACCACCACAGATACAACAAGCTTAGCCATGCAAACACGCACCCTATTAGCTGATCCCTCAATTACCCGTGACTAGACACTTCAACCGTCCCAAGCCTCTAGCCACAAAACATCACCAACCTTGACCAATCTCTTGGCTTCAATGATCCACAATACATCCAAGACCCCTCCAGCTCGGCTCACCCTCATAGATTGACCGACTGATCTATTCAAACTACGTTCAGCTCGGCTCGGCTCGGCTCATCTTAATGGGTTAAACGTCACCCAAACCACACTTTTAGCCATCCATGCTGGTAGAAATACCTGAGTAGTAACAGTTGGGATGACCCATAAGGGGTGAATGGCATCCAAAACACACATGATAACCACCAAGCCTACCACAACGACTCGGCTCGCCCTAGCAGACCGAGTGAAAGAAACACAACCCCAAACCATGAACCCAAACCTTTTGTCTATAGCCTCCCCTCTTGAACATATATTAGCAAAAAAGCTGGCTGACATGGAAGGTATGATGAGACGCATACCTGGAGTACTTGTCCCAACTAAGAAGAGCCTTCCCTATAGTTATGCAAACTCACCCTTTATAGACCCCATGGCTTTAATCGATATGCTCCAGAAATTTTTCATCCCAAATATGAAACCATATGATAGAACGACTGATCCAAACGATCACATAGCTTCATACAAACATAGGATGTTTACTGTTTTCATACCTCGGGACCTTAGGGAAACATGCATGTGCAAGAGCTTCGGTTCCAGTTTATCAGGGCCAGCCCTGCAATGGTACACAAACCTCCCTAACAACTTCATAGGCTTATTGGCCCAACTCATCGATGTCTTCGTTGAGTAGTGTGCAAGCAGCAAGAAGTTAGAGAAGTTGTCATCCGACTTATACAAGATTTATAAGAAAAGAGAAGAGCCGTTGTGTTAGTATGTTAATCGGTTTAATAAAGAAAATATATCAATCCTATCCCGCCTTCCTGAAATTGCGGTAAATGCTTTCAGAAAGGGACTACTTCCTGATGGGAAACTCTACAAAGACCTCACTAAACTGAACTGCAATTTAATAGAGGATGCCCAGTCCCGAGCGATCATTCATATAAGGTGGAAAGAAGATGAGGCAAATTGTAGAAGACATACATCATACGATGAATGCCAATAGAACCGTAGTGAGAGGCACCCAGACGCGTGATAGTATGAAGCAAACAACTCAACTCCAGCACAGAATTCCAATGGAAACAACCGAAAACCATATGATCGGTCGCCAACTAGGCCTGCAATTACACTTTCTAACTTTTCTTCGTTCTTGGTCCTTAAGTACAACCTTAATGTTGAGCTAGCATAAGTGGTTGCCATAATGAAAAGGATGAGTCTAACAGTTAAGTGGCCACCCAAGTTGAGACCGGATACCAAGAGAGACACTACCAAGTGGTGCAAATTCCACCATGACCATGAACATAATACTGCCAACTGTATAGCTCTAAGATTGGAAGTCGCAGCCTTACTTAAGAGAGGATATCTTCATGACTTATTAATCGACAAAGGTAAAAGCACAATAAAAAACAGAAATGAGAAGAACCAGTCCTCCCCTCTGCTTGACCCAAAGCCTGAAGGATTCTGCAACATGATATCAGGCGGTTCAAAGATTAGCGTAGTCAACTACTCCTCGACAAAGAGGCACGTTCGAGCAAGCTATAATCTAAAAGCTCATTCTTCCCATCCATCCACATAGAAGCCTACTCAACAAGTCATCTAATTCGAAGATGATGAGCTAGCCACACTGGCAGCCCCGCACCATGATGCCTTTGTTATCTCGCTACAGATAGCAAATACTCTTGTATGAAGAGTGTTTGTAGATAGAGGATCTTCCGCCAACATTCTCTTCTTAGAGGCACTTAAGACAATGGGCCTGGACGAATCAAATATCAATAGGCGTCCCACCATCCTGATTGGATTTAGCTTTGAACAGAAGTATAGTATCAGAGAGATAACTTTGCCTGTCTACACAAGTGGAGTAAATCGATAGACCATCTTCCTTGTGATGGATTGCCTCTCACCTTACAACTTCGTTCTAGCCAGACTCTGGATCCATGACATGAGAGTTAGGACTGTCAATCTAGTCGAGTCGAGCGGCTTGCGAGTTGACTCTGCTTGACTCGGTTAGAGCTCGTTTGGAGCTCGACTCGCTAATTATCGAGTCGACTCAGCTTGAACTCGATTTGTTTACCGAGTCAAGTTCGAACACAGTAAAACTCGGCTTATGGGCTCACGAGCCTGGTCCGGCTCGTGTAAACACTGTGCACTTATGCAAGGTGCTTTGGTGATTTTTTAAACTATGAGGTATTAAACTGATAGTTTTCAGTAAAAAAACTTTGAAAAATAAAATAGGAGTGAGCGTTGGGCACCGCGTACTAACATACACAGTCACCAACTCTCACTGTATCCATAATTCCGCATACTATCTTCTCTCCTTTTAATGCTTTCATTCACTTCTCTTCTCTCTCAACTCAACCACGTCTTCTTCTTCAACATTTCTTCTTCTTCTCTTCTTCATTTTACTTCTCTCTTCTTCTTCTTTTTCACTTTCAGCTAATGTTGATAATGATCACACCCTCAAAACTTACATAGTCAAAGTCCATTACGATGCCAAGCCCTCAATTTTCCCAACTCACAAACACTGGTACAAGTCCTCTTTTTCCTCCTTCACCTCTCTTATCCACATTTACGACACTATCTTCCATGGCTTCTCCGCTAGACTCACTTCTTCTGAAGCTCAACAACTCAAAACTCTCCCTCATATCATTGCTCTCATTCCTTATCGAGCTCGAGCTTGATATCGGGCTCGCGAGCTGGAGTTCAAGCCAGCTCAAGCTCACCTCGAACTCGACGAAGCTCAAGTTCGAGTCTCAATTCTGAGGCTCGCTAGGCTCGAGCTTGAACTCGGCATTATACTAAATGAGCCAAGCTCGATAAACCAAAAGCTTGACTCGACTCGACTCAGCTCGGCTCGACTCGTTTACAGTCCTAATGAGAGTTGTCCCTTCAACCTTCCACTAGATAATCGAATTCTTTACTAAATGGGGAGTAAAAGAGATCATGGGCAACCCGAAGTCCTCTTACAAAAATGCCTTTAAAGGAAAGTCCAACACCTTATAGCAACTATAAACGAGTCTGACTCACTCAACCAAGCCAGATCAACCTTAATGGAAGAACTGGATGAAGTATAAATTGACTCCGATCATCCCAACCAGAGGACTTAGATAGGATTGAGGTTGAGTCTTGAAATTAAAGAGTGGCTGATCAATTTCCTACAAGAGAATCGCGACTGCATCGCTTGGTCCCATGCAAATATGACAAGGATCAACCCTAACACAATCATGCACTATCTCCAGGTTGACCCAAACTGTCCCCAAGTAAGATAGAAAAGAGGAAAGTTCGCTACATAGTGAAACCGGGTGATCAATGAAGAAGTTAAAAAAACTCCTAAATAATGGACTCATTTGAGAGGTCCACTACCCCGACTGGCTAGCTAACGTGGTGGTCGTCCGAAAGAAGAATGTGAAGTAGAAAATCTGTAGACTTCATGGACCTAAATAAAGCGTACCCCAAGGACTCCTTCGTTCTACCGTACATCGATATACTGGTCGACGCTACAACCAGTCACGAGTTGCTTAGTTTCATGGATGTCTTCTTAGGGTATAATCAGATACT